AGTTGTAGAGGAGCGGGATGTTCTTGTACGGGTTGATGCTAATGAGGATGTCGCCCGTGAACGTGTAGATGAGGTCCTGCTCGTAGCGGCGCCGGAGCAGGTCGAGCAGAGGCGCCTCGTGCAGGTTGTCCATGTCCGAGACGTTGGGCAAAAGCTGGGCGTGCGAGACGTCGAACGGGTGCGTCTGCGTCACGGCAAACTTGTGCTCCTCGTTGTCGTCGGGCGTGAGCACGAAGAGCGACTCGCCGTCGTCCTCGACGATCGAGCCCAGCTGCCAGACGTTGCGCGGGTCGGGGCACCACACCTTCTCGCCCTCCCGGCGGTGCTTCTTGGCCGCCATCATCTCGTCGCCGGTTTGTAAATCAGCCGTCAGCTTGGCCACCCCGTAAGTGCGAAAGGCCCCACACCTCGTCATTGACGTTGCGCACTTACTCGGCATCTCTAACTGGATATATGTATGGGTCTCGATGAAGTGCGGTATCTTGAGCAGGTGCCTTCTGGAAAAGACGGCAATACACCCCGTTAAATACGCTCTGGTAGACCGTACTTGAAAGGGACTTGATACACGCTGCCACATTGCAGTCATAAGTCGACTACAACTTGGACGATAGACTTCGACAAGCGCACATGCTTGCTTGATGGAGGATAGACGTATCCAAGTCGATCATCGTGACTATTAAACCGATCTAAAGGATTTAATATGCTGCTTGTGCATATCGAGTGCGGTGGTGAAGCAGCAGCTGAAACAGAGAGGATGGGTGGTGGGTTGTGGCAGCGAAACGTGCGGTCAGCATGGCGTGTACCACCGCTGCAACAGGACTGCAAGTGTCTGTGGTCCGTGCAAAACCATCGTATATGTGAGTACTGAGAGAGGTTCGCAGCAAACTCTGAGAACTTGGTGCAATCTGCATCCCGGTATTCAAAAGCCCGTCTATTGAGCTAGCACCGTACAAGGACGTCATGTCTTGCCGATCTACATGTACTAGCGTAGGACCAGTGCGCATCCTGGTCTAAAGCATTGTTTGTCCATTGGCGGCTCGACGTAGCGAGCTCGCGGTGTTGTGATTCAAAGTTGGCTCTAGTTTCGTCGTTGGCATTCCAGTGGCGAATAGGTATTCCCAGAAAGCGCTCCAAGTACGGTCAAGCGTTCACCGGTAGGTCCTATCTATGTATAGTACAATAACTTACGTGTGTGCTATGTACATGTATATAGCTCCGTGAGTCCTTGCCAGACTTGATATCCGTGGTTGCCTCTCCTGTTCTGCTTCTCTCTTCGCAAGAACAACCGACCAACTTCAACCGCAAGCAATGCATATCCTTGGCGCCAGAACTCGATGTGAGCGACAGAGAAGACGCAAACGTTCCGCTACGTCGTACACCTGCTGTCCATCAAGGCCGCGAAAATAAACACTCCCATTGGCCTGCACATCAGCGTGTCCCTTCAAACCAAGATCGTCGCGGATTTGGCGAGGATATAGTTTGGTCAAATCTAAGATGTACAAGACCTGATGTGGGTTCGTTGCGGTCTCATGGCGCGATCTGATCTAGCTCCTATCGCAACAATCCATCCATGTAGTAGCTGCATCAACCTTCGCAACCGACCTGCATAGCCGCGCCGCACGAAATGCAAGCGCGAAGAGACGGCGGTTGCCCAACTTCAACGTACGTACCTGTGGTAGCCAAGAATCAGGGGCGCGAAGACAGCGTAACCGACCAGCTTGCGTCCGACGACGATGCGTCTCGGCTTTCGGCGCCTAGATGTGCAGGAGGCAGCCACCAACGCAGCCACCACTACAACAGTATACGTGCTTCTTGAATCGTCTCTCGACTGTGGAAACTATCACTATTAGTATAGTCCCCTTTTTCTTCCACGGATCGCAAGGACGGCGTCGCTTGTTCGGCGATCGAACTCGGACTTCGGCACTCCGTCGCATCGTGCGCTTCTTCGTGATTGGTCCACTGCTGGTGGCGCAGAAAGTAGGTTCACCAATCAAATCACGTAAATTGCTGCGTCAGACCAATTCTGCGATATGATTGGTCAAACCAAAAGGTGCAACCAAAGCTCGATCTTCTTGGCTGCGAGTGTATTCTTGAAAAAGCTACCAACCACCAAGATGGTCAAGTCACAAGAGCCCAAGTCGTACGCGCAGATGGTCCTCGAGATGTTCATGGCTGCGCCCCAAGTCTCGGTCCGCGGCGCCCGCGTGCCCTCGGACATGAGCCGCTGCAACAGCGCGCGCGCCCACAAGTCTGCCAACTGGGCCAACGCGCACCAGTTCCCGCTCGCGTCCAAGTAAACCTTGTGCCGCGCCAACTATATATTTAATCTCCCGACTACGTAATGTATCGTGCTTCACTATCCGCACACGATGTCTTCTCTCACGACGCCAACGAGAATCACCTCTGCAAGCTGTTAACGCCCGACCGCAGGCCACGAGCATCTCACTAATTTTGCGGCAACGAAAGGCGCCATTTAAGCTGTGATCGCTGCAAATCTACTGTGGAGTCATCGTACTCGAAGGGGTCGATGATAATCATACGTAGCTGCATGTGACTGCATGACATGAGCGCAGGTGAGGTGCCGTTAACAGGGATGCCATTGTAGACACATCACCGAGAATCGATCCCATCCCATCACGAACTCAACGAGTGTGCTGTTCCAAGAGCCGTTGCGATCAACCATCGAGTGCCACCGTCTCGGTCCCTTATAAACAGTGATGCGGTGTCGATGGCCTGTCGTCCAAATGGGGTTGCACCACCACCCTCCTTGAACGCAGCGACACACACAGGCTCGGGGTGGGCTCGCAGCAACTGTTGTGCATAATATTTGGACTTCAAAGCAAAGCGTTGGACATTTCAATTGCTACAGCGAGCAACGACCGAGCACCAACTGGCCTGCACCAAAGTCAACGCCGGTAGGTCAACTTTTCCGGGCCAAAAACGTGTGCAGCTGTAGAATTCAGGAGGCGAATGGCTGCTTTCTAAACGATGCCGCTAAGAAGTCCTGGGGGCTGCTTGGTGCGCCTCCGAAGCGTGCGGTCCAAGAGCCACTTGGAGCTTACGACGCTGAGCGCGAGGCCAAAGGCCTTGGTGTACAGCACAGAGGCGTAGAGCACCCAGGACAACTGCGTGCACATTTGAGCATGCAAGCACATCGACGACGCAGAACG